ATACCGTGTTTCCCCGAAAATAAGACAGTCTTATTTTTTTTTTGTCTCAACAAAATCACTCTAGGCCTTTTCGGGGTAGGTCTTATTTTTTAGTTGTTTTATGTATAACAATCCAAAGTTAATGCAAATACAAATGAAATAATCCAAAATGGCAAAGTTAAGAATAGGGTGATCAGTGCAATCAGGGGTGCCGTACCTTTCCAAGAGCAATTTAGTAACCAGAATGAGCGAAACGCACTTTCACTATAGATTCCTCACAGGCGGAGTGCATTTGGTATCACTCCGCCTGTGACAGGAGGCAGCGTTATAGAGGAAACATCAGCTTATGCGGCTCTGCTCCCTGTGCTGCCGCCTCACTTCCTCTAGTGCTGGCTTCATTGGCACCGATGATTCCCTCCCGCGGCTCTTCAGGTTCCCCCTTATGCCACCAACAGCCCTGGGAGGTCACAACTGGGTCTTATTTTCGGGGTAGGTCTTATATTTTAGCAATTCCCAAAAATAGTACTAGGTCTTATTTTCGGGGTAGGTCTTATTTTCAGGGATAATTGTGTATTACAGGATAGATTGTGTATTATATAGGATAAGCAGTAGGATTGTACACAGGATAGCAATAATGTTAAGTTAAACAAAATGAAATAGGTTTAAAGTTAAAATAAACATAGAAAATCCCTACCCCCGCATACAAACACACACATAGAAATGCAAACACAAATTGGGTGCTCCTATATAAGAACACAACTATTGTGCCACATGTTTGGTATTGCTTTTCACGCCTGAAGGAAAACAATCATTCACAATTATTCACAATTAACTCTAAACTGATGACCTATAGAAGATCTCACAATTTTGGGTGCTGTAGTTTTTTTGCCATTTCACAGGCACATGCAATTTTTAAGCTTGACATGCCTGTTAATTATTTACTTAGCACGTCCTCATCTTTTATGTTTTACAAAAAATTGGGTAACATGTTTATGTGCACTAGAATGAACGTGAGGGTACTTTTTTTGCTTAAAATTTGGGTATGATAAAAAGTTGCGCTAACATTATGCGACATAAGAAATTACAACTCCTACTATTTTATTTTACAGGGTCTATATATTTCTTTCAGGATTTCAGGGTTGGTTAATCTTCAGGCCTATAATATGCATTTTAACATATGTTCAAAAAATGCAAAAACAGCTTTGGCAACAAAAGGGTTAGACATGAATATCATTATTTCTGCAAAATTAAGTCAGCAATGGAAAAAAAACCACATAATACATTTAGTAAAAGATGAAGTCAAAGCATTATTTCATAAATTCCTCATTGGTAATATGCAGGGATGCACCAACATTTTAGCCAGAAAATGCCGCAAGTACCATTTTTTTGGCCAAAAATGTGGTGAATCTCTAGTTTCTCTCCACCCTGCTAGGCGTTACTCTGTGTCAGAGGGTAAACGGTCAGAACACCAAGTGCGGCAGGGAGGAGAGTGCTGTCAGCAGTGTCACAGGAAGCTGAGCTCTGCTCCCGCACCACCCTGCTCGGCCTCCTGTGACAAGCAAATCAGGATGGAGAATGGTGCCGGAAGGAGACGGCTGTCACTAGAGGCCAAGTCGGCAGTGCAGGGGAGGAGTCAGCTGTCAGCGGCGTCATAGGAGCCAAACTCTTCTCCCCTCCCACTCAGCCTCCTGTGACAGCGAGTCAGGATGGAGAGCGGTATATGCACACACACACGGCTGATCGCTGAGTGTTTGTAAATAATTAAGGACATAGTATGTTTACTGTGTCCCCAATTATGAATGAACAGGAAGTGCTCTACTTCACTTCCTGTTCATTCATGATTGTGGACATAGTAACTCATACTATCTCCAGTTTATGAATGGACAGGAACAGTCAGTATATAAGCTTTCTGTTCATTCAACAGGGGCTGCAGAAAAAGAGATTGAGGACTCTGGTGTCCTCAATCTCTTTTTCAAAAGAGAAATATCAGGGGTCTGTTTACCCCCAACAGTAAAGTAAACAAAAAATATATAAATAAATATTAAAAAAATGAATTTGAAAAAAGGTTAGTAAAAAAAAAAGAAAATACGTATTCGGCCGGACAAATTTTTAAATTCCGTTTCTGTCTTAAAATCCCATTTCGGTGCACCTCTAGTAATGGGCATAAAATAATGTATGTATGTGAAAGTAGAGTATTACTGAAGAGAATCAGATAAGGAACAGAGCATGACACAAACAGGTATCCACTGTTATAGGATACAACAGTTCTCGTGCTTAGTGACACACAGCATTGTGTGATACAGATAAAATAATTAATCTCTGTTGGCCATGACTTGCTAATGCTCATATGACCACAACTTCAAACCAAAGTGTGGCTTAACTTTTCTATTCTGAGCAAGAGAGGAAGTGCCCAGCTGGATTTCATAGGACTCATTGTTCAGACATTTTGATTCATCTTTTTCTTTTTCTGGAACTTCTCATTTCATCTCTATCAATTTCCTCTTTGTATGATAGTAAAGAATAGGATAATATATATCATTATAGACCTGGATGCTATTATTTTTATACCAAAATCTAGCAATTTGTTATAAATATGTATAATGAAGTCTTTTTGATATCTTTTTAGATATGCCATCATTTTGCTAAAAAAATATTTATATAAACCATTTAACACTGAACTTTAGGCAGCTATGTCAGAAAATAAATAAATGGTAATTTAAAAAAAACAATTGGATCCAGTTATGCATGCATTTATTTAAAAATCATTTAGGCAGAATTGACTAAGAATTGACAAGTTACTGCAGAGCTGCGGTGCCATTCCTTACAAAAAGCTTTTTACAAAACAGATCTATAGCAGTATCAGGGCTCGTGTGCCCAAGCATAACAAAATACTGAGATCTACGCAGGATTTTGCTGGCAGAAATGTTCCATCTAAAACTCATGTAATGGTTCAAAAAGTGCATCATAAAATTTTTACATCCGTAAATTTCCTCTTCTATTCCTCTGGCTCCATTTTCAATCTCGGTATGTTTGCATGTGTAAATTACACAGAAATACTGACCGCTGATGCAGAATTGACTTGATTTTACACAGCTGAGCACAATGCAGCTGAATGCATGGGCCCATAATATAAGAAAGTGCTGCGTTCCTGTCCATAAAAAAATTATACACTGTACGGATGTTAATGCAGTGTTTTTATATGCCTTTGCTCATATAATAATCAGTGTGGTTTTAGTTAGAATGAGGATGCCAGTTTAGTTATAAACACTTACATTTGATATTAGACTCATAATAAAAAAAATAAAAAAAAAAGGAAAAAAGAAAAAATATGAACAAGATACTTACAGCTCCTTGGTACATTTCAATCTCCTTTTCTCCAAAATAGGGCATTTGCTTGAACGGATTCACAGAGATCAGCACTGGGCCAATGTATGTCTATGAACAATTAAGGATGTATAATGCACAAGATTGTATATATATCCTGCTCAGTTATATGAACAAACAATTATTTCAGTTGGAATTACCACAGATTGGTTGCTATGAATTACTGCACTTTGTAAAACAGATTTTCCATTTTGTATCATACTGAATAACACCACACAGTTATGGACAAATAAAATGCAGAACAGGAATATTTAAAATAATTTTCATGCAGTTTGCACTGCAACCTACAAACTCAGCTTTACGGTAACAAATCTCCAAATGACACCGTTCCAACATGGCATCCGCTTGTCAAGATAAAGGAAACATTGGCTGGTCGTACTAGCGGAGCGTACCCTTGTTCCAAAGTACAAAAGTCCCAGAATCAAAGTCAGTCAGCAAAAAAAAAAAGGAAATGTGTTTTAACCCTTATAACTTTTTGGCTTTACATATGCTTTAGAGCCTGTCTTGATGGGCTATGAGAACTACTTCTCTCCCCGTACAAGTCTATTGGAATACAAAAGCCACTTAAGTAGGTCAAATGCTGGTCAGAAGGAAGTCAACTGCAAGTCAAATGCACTGGCCAATGAATTCTGAATGATCTGAAAAGCATCTTCAAACAAATGTTAAAAGCACGCTCATGGACACCGCCCAAAGCCTGTTGACTCTAGCCCTTAATCTGTAATCACCAGTACTACTCAGACAAGGAGAGGGAGGACAGCACTTTAAATAGAATCCATTGTTTTATAAAGTGTAATTTACAACAAACATTTCTATAGGAGGTAATCAAACAGAAATAAATTAGAGACATAAAAGCATACATAGTAAGCCCTCAGATCTGAAATAAAATAAATAATATTTATAGGACTAATATGAAGTATTTAATATACAAAAGATAAAAACACATGATGTCATATACACAAGAGACCCTCCAGCCCCCTATTCATGGTAAACATATATCAGTTTTGTCTGTTTTTGGCACAAGTTCAGAGATCTGTGGCCTCATAGGCATTTTTACTAGAACATCTTTCATACTCAGAAGTGTTTGTAGATAACCAACAGGACCACGTGAGTGCGTGTCAAACAATCCGGGTTTCAAGTGGCACAGATTAACACTCATTCATGACTGCTCATATAAACAATCAGTTCATTCAGGGTCTTAGAGACACTCGAATATAATAACAGAGAAAAGTTCTTGTTGTCAACTGTACTTTTTTGTTTTCTGCACTCAAATGTATTCACTTCAGTAGAGTGGCCTAAAAATAATCAAGTCTGCGACTCCCTTCAGACATGTTATTGTTTTACAACAGTTTTCACTCAATAATATAAACAATCTACTCCTATGTGCCCTAAGTTCTAGTCACACTTATTCAAACTTTAGTGATACAAAACAATATTAACAACAGGAAAAGAGGAGTCCAAAATACATACCATGATCAATGCACAAAAGCTATAGCGCATGGAACAGCCATGAATACGGTTTCCAATTAATTACTGAATCAGTTAATGGGCGTGCGTTTCCTGGAACATTATTTTATTATATGTTTAAATACTATATGTGCTAGTGGGGTCGTAAAGTGCATCTACAACCAAAAACTTTTTTTTTTTTTTGGATACAGTGGTAAAGGGGTTAGAAAACCTTTCAGTTTTATTGCCATTTTCGAGTTAGGGAGTTTCACTCGCCATCTGTCCTGGTAGCCATTGCAATTGGGACTGAAAGGGCTGATTCACACTAGTCTGGTCTGTTGCGGTGGGTTTAATGGACACAAAATGACATTGCACGCTAAAGGCATAGTAAGAATGGCCCCAACAGAACAGAAATCTACCTATGGGGAAACTTGTTTTGGTGGGAACTGTCTAAGAAGGGATTTACATAACTTTGGAATTATTTCCTACCATGTATTGCAAACCTCTGGCTTTAAATAATAGCTTAAGGTCTTTCCAAGCACAGAGTAAGGTCTGAATCTCCAACTATACTTCAAAAACCTTCACAATTTCCAAAATTTGATAGAATTTATCTAGATACCCAGTATTACATCATATGCTGAAAAGTTATAAGGTTATTGACGATTGACTAGGATTTGGGTTCATCTGGCCACAATGGCCTTTGTGACCAAGAAAAGGGCCTCTCTCAGGGTCGTGGCTTTATACTTAGTACATAATTACTCAAGCATACCAAGGAAACACAATTTGGCATTATAAGGGCATTCACCAAGCCAGATTAAAATATAACAATCTTCCTCCACAATTGACAAGTATCAGGACAGGCCCATACCATATGCCAGAAGACAATATTATTGTTACAACATCTAGTACACACATGAGTGATCAAAGGTCCTTATTTTACAGAAATAACTGCGGGGTAAAGGAGAACTATGAGATGAGTGATTTTCGATGTCACAGGTCGGCTCAGTAGATCGGGAGGTGAACGAACACATACCAGGTTCGCTCACCTCTCGATCCTGTCACGACTCTCTGCCGTGACAGGGGGAGGGGCTGGATTCCCCTCTCCCCGCTCCGATCTGCCAGCGCTGACTGGCGGAATGGACGGGGGAGGGGGCGGGTACAGCTGGCTCTGCCTCTAGATAGGCAGAGCCAGCTGTAACTCACGCAGCTGGGCGGATCCCGACGTCCATGTCGGGATCCGCTCCGGCGTCTCAGTATACCGCGAGCTGTAGCTCGCAGTATACTGAGCTTAGGGTAACAGGAGGACGCTAGTTTGTGTCCTCCCGTTACCCTAAGGAGAACAATGGGGAAAAACACTGACCCCATAGTTCTCCCTTAAGTATAGCTAATGCATTATACACATCTGAGTTAGTTTATTATTGACTGAAGTTAATAATTCTGTATGGTCCTCCCTATCTAGCGAGAGCAATAAAGAACTCTGTTTATCTATTGCCGAGGGAGATGTATGAGATATACATACAGGGTAAGAGAAAAAAAAACTCAAGGCTCTTGTGATCTGAAAATCTCAATAAGATGCAAAGTAGAAGCAAGCCTAATGCACAAGTCTTCTTAAATATTATTAAGTCGGTATTGGCATAAGGTGCCCTTCATATTACTCAATTAAATCAACTGCAATATTGATACATGATTGAGGGTTAGCTAAAGGCTGATTTCTCTGAACACATCAACCACAGGATGCAGAACCAGGAAAAGTATTTTCATTCACAAAAAGCTACACTAAGCTATTCTTTTCAAACCAAGTAGAGACAAAAATGAAAGGGCAGCTTTGATGTGAAAGGAAACACAGTTCCAATATTAGATTCTGCTGAGTGGTGTACAGGCTAGTTTACACTCTTTGATTTGTAATGAAATACATTATGTTCATTTAAAATACTCCCATACTATATCAACTTATTTTGCAACTGTTCACAAAATACCAATAAAACATCAAACTTCACTTCAGTGAAAGTTGCAAATAATTATGTGGAACAAGATCCTACCATGTAAAGAACACCTCCACTCAAAGTATCTGTTTTGTTTTGGACAGGGAGCAATAAAGCTATCCGTCTATGTCATTATATTTCCCTTTCAAACCTTGAGGTGAATAGAGGATACACTACATTTCTTGCAATTAACACCACAGCATGTATATAAAACATGAACTGCGCCAATAAGCAAGATAACTGCTAAAAGGCACTGAAATGTAAACCAACTGTGAGTGTGTATATGTGAAAAATGAATAACTATATGTGCCGAGCTACAGCAATGAGCAATACAAAAAAATAAAAGAATCTGTGACTCAACCAAATGGCGACAACCAGACTCATATTAAAAAGTCACCATAATATCAAAAAAGATTATATTTTTCAGATCTTAATGGTTAATTTCTATTGGAAGTTTGATCTCGATTGGTTAATATAGGGCAATGCACTTATAAGTGCATTTCTTAGTGCATTGTTATGTCCACACTTATACTGTAAGTGTGGACATAACAAAAAAATTGGGGAAAAATCCCTTTAAGTGCAAAGTATCAACAAGACAGTTATATAAAGTTTATTTTATCTTACTACAAAATACTGTGCATAGACAACATTAAAAAGATACAAAGATAAAATCATCCATGTAACGTTTTTTTATGTTTTCCACAATGGAGTCTTCTGTGATTTTGGAAAGGAGGACCATATCATCCACCCCACTGTGCTTGACATTGTGGCTCTGCCAGTGGTACCTATAGTGTCCTTTACTGCCCTGTAAAAACAAAATAGAAAACAAAATTAATGATGGCAGACTACTACAATAATGGTGCAACAGCATTAACTAAAATTACTAGTAGAGATTACTCACCTACAGTTACAATTAATTTCTACTTATCAACATGTAAAGAATGTAAACACAAGAGCAGTATTGGGCACCAGGTAAAACAATCATTTCATGAGAAGCTCTACAGTATTAACGGCTTGATATTAAGGCAGGTAGAAGAGACTTGAACATCTTCAGTGGTTTTGCTTTGAATGCTGAGAACAAATTGCTTCACAGTGCCTTCAGTGACAGTGACCAGGGAGTACTTTATTCCTTCACTTGCTAAGGATGTAAATTTTTGAATGTTTATAGCCTGGCCATAGGCTTACTTTAAAAACACTGCTCCACTGATGCTATAAAGGGCTGCATTCTAACAAGTAGTGTTCCTGCAAGAAAAAATTCCGGCGCCTTCAATTAAAAGGTGACCAGCAGCTTAATAAGGCAAACAGGAAAGAGGCAGCTCCCACAGGTCAAATAGACAGCCAATCTAGGAAACAAAAGAACGAAAAAGGGCACCTCCATAGTATAAAAATGTAATTTAATAATAAAACACGCAGCTCTAGGCTGTACTAACAGAAATTCAATGGAATAAAAGCATGTAGAATTCGATGGGAAATCGGAACCTCTAGCAGTGGTGTGGTGCCCTGTTCAAGATTCTAATATGTCTTCTGCGTAAGCAGACACAGCTTGACGTAAATGTCACACTCAATTTTTCCTTTATAGCATAACTGTAAACTAGTTTTTTTTTTAAACCATGTAATTTATGGGTGGTTGAATATTCAACACAGGCTGTCAATTAGTGGCAATTTTTTTGCGTGGAGTACTGGACTCTGCATGTGAGCGATCTCAGTGTTTCTTTGTATCCCAACTCTCCAAAGATGCACTATGATGTTGGCATCTTTTACATTTACAAGTACACATTTAAAGTATTTCCATACTTAGCTAAACCACATTGATTATTAAAATGAAAACAAGGAATATGTGATTGATGTTGAAGTTCAAAGTAAAACATACATTTAAGATTATACGGAGTGAAAAAACACAGAAGGCAAACAGAAGTGAGGATATAAGACAAAAGGAGGACAAATCTAATTAAAAAGCTGCCAAATAAAAGCAAGCTCACACATGGCAGTACTCGCATAGTTGACCTTCAAGCCAGAAAAACATCACAGGCATAGCCCACCCAAAGCTGGATATTAATTTTGTGGTGCATGCTAGAGATGAGTTGCCTGATGATTTCCTATACATATGTAAAATTCAAGTGGCTAGATCTCCCCATCGTTAATACCAGTTTCTGCCATTGTCAACTACTACATCTCTACAATGGGAGCAGATTGGGCAGCAGTCCTGCAATTTGGCTTTCACAGGTCTGGCTAATGTGCACGGCAAATGAGGCAATTGCTAAAGGTGTCAAGCCATTCAAAGAACCCTGGTCTAAGCAAAAGTTATTCTATGATGTTTTATTGTAGAACAGTTTAGATTCCTGACCCATTAACAAGTTTGGCTTACTTTCTAAAGCTGGTATATATGTGAATATGCATACCCATCCATATAACAAAACAATCAGAATACTTTGTTGTCTATGCCCAACCCTGCCAGAAAGTGACCTACAACTAATGGCAACCTGCAAAACAAAGACACTCTATACTTGCCTTCCTGGTGGTCCACGTGTAAAAAAACCTGCCGTGTTGCTAATCCCTGGGATAATCCCACCCCCATCATAAACTGTGGTTTCTCCTGATGGCTTGCCAGTCATATTTTCTGGATCCTGCAATGGGAATTATCTTATATGGCAAGTTCACATAGGAAATAGCTTGATGCAACATTCTTCTTTAAAACTGCTTGTATCTTTAGATTTACGGTACTTAACACCATCTCAGTACATCTCCTTTGAGAGAGACAGGGATGAAGAGTAAAACGGCTGCTGACAAAAAAAAACACACAGCTGCAAGATATAGGCAATGCATTTTGTGAGTGTTTCAATGTTAATATATATTATACTTTGTCTGTAGGGATTTTGCAGACCTGCAATTATATAGAGTTCCAGCTTGCCACATCTAAAAATAAGGAAATGACATTTAACGTATATACAGCTAGGACTGTGGTATCCCCACAATGCCTAACAGCTATTTATCACCTTTATCCCTGGAGTGTCAATACGAGTTGTTTTTCAGCTTAACAGATGATTATAGTATGCTCAAAGTTAATTAACAGATAACAATTTACCTGTTTGCTGTCCACAGCTTTTAAAGACATACATGTGTACAACTAAAACGTTGTAGCCACAGGTAAGGAGATCTGCAGGGACAAAAAGCTCTGCTCACATAGTGTAGAACAAATGCATAATAGCAATCTAAAAACTCAATATATCTCTTGATCCATTGATCAGTTTGACAAGCAGCTGAATGTATATGGAATCTCTCAACCTCTCAAAGTGCCCCCTTTCGATCCTTTACTTGATGGATGGTCTCACTGACCATTAAGCTTGGGAAGGTGAAAAGAGGCAGGACCAAGTTTACCATTTACAGGAATGGTTGAGATTTACATACAATTTAATCTGCCCACATCTATGGATCTACCCGATTATTTTTATTTCAGTAAACTGAGTTATTCGACACCTATGGGGATCGGTACGTGCCAAATAACTGAACTTTCTGGTTAATGGTAATGGTAGTGCCAGATAATGGGGAGTTTACTGTATGTAGTTTTTATTCTAGGTCACCACTGATTATTTTTTTCGGATTTGTATATTTTTGGGGATTTTCAAAAAGAAGTTGAAATTGAATAATTGAATTGAACTGATGCAGTATTGTGTGCATATAACAGAACTTCCAATAAGGTTCCAATCTAGTAAAATGGTTGCAATAGTGTCATAATTGAAACAAATCTAAGTTTCTATATTGTATGCTCCGTTTGAACTGTGCAGGTTGGTGACATTTTACTTCAGGTAAAATTGTAAGAAATCAAAAAGGGCCCATTGTTATTTTGTTGCCGTCGCCCAATTCACTTCCGTCAGAAAAATAAAATTAAAAAAATGTTGCAATTTTTAAAAGCAGTTCTCACGGACCGCTAATACATTGGGAACTGATGGTATACACACTATGGACAGCTTACCCTTGTGTGTGCCCAATGCAGCTAATGACCCTTGCTAAGCAATAGCAAAATCCACTATTAGCAGTCCTGCTAATAACAGTTGGCAGTTAAAGTGACACTAAATTCAGGAGTTGTATTTTAAAAATTGTTATTTTTCCCAATCAACAAAATGTATCTTATTTGTGTATCACTCAGCTGTAGATCTTCAAATCATCTCTGAATTGGAAGTGACACAGTCCTTCCTTCTGAAGGGTGGTTACTTTTGTTCCCCATGGTCCATGTGTGTTATAAAGTAGCCACCACTCCAACTCACTCCCATGATGGACTACAATTTCACCTTTAGTTTACTAATTTGTATTGAGATTGTAATCCATCATGGGAGTGAGTTGAAGTGGTGGATACTTTAGAACACATACAGGGACCATGAGGAAGAAAAGTAGGCACCCTACAGGAGGAAAAACAGTGTCAACACCAATTCAGAGATGATTTGAGGATCTACAGCTGAAAGATACACAAATTAGCTACATGTCTTTTAATAGTTAAAAAGGTACTTGGGTGTATTTTTAAGATTTAACTCCTGAGGTTAGTGTCACTTTCAGCTGGTCATACACCAATAGATTTCATTACGGCTGACAATTTTCGGTCCAGCTCCTTTGACAAAACTTTTTTGAGTAATCAACTTTTGTTGAACTGGCTGGGCCACCCACTGTTAGAATTTAGGCTAATTCACAGGAATCAGACAAAATTCTAACAGTGTATAGCCAGCTTTAAAGCTTATACACCTCTAAAACAAAAGGTTTGTTGCAAGTTTTTACAGAATCCCCTGGCTCTATTAAAACAAATCTCCATAGGGCTGAATGAGTGCATAGCGCATGTGCAAGTCCAGTCCAGATTTTGACAAAGGCCTGTGGCACTGGGGGGGGGGTCTCACAAACCTCACTAGATTGGGGACAGGGGAGTAGGTGACTAGAAGGGGGGCTACATTTTAAGGCTAGAGTCACACATTTGAATTGATTAAAAACAATTCCCACCAGTTGTGCACAATCAGCAACAGGAAGGATAGTCCAATTTTGGACCAAATGCTATTGAAATGACCGACTATTCTTCAGTTTACAAAGATAGTGCTACCAATGTCAAACATTGCCTGCACAATCACAAATCGCTACACAATTCGGGATCATCTGGATCAATCGGGAACATCGGGACACAAATTGCTACTGGCATAGCAAATTTATTGCTAAATTAAGTTTCCTCTAGGTCTCTCTAATCTTTTTACCACAGCAAAACAAATATATTACTGTAAAATGTTCTATTAAGCTCCTGATATGAAAACGCCAGACCAATCTTTTGTCCAGCAAGATGAAAGAAATTATATTTAGTTGTATTTAAAATAATCTCAGAGTACCACAAACACATCTGTCGTTTTAGGATGACCTGATATTTTTTTTCATTGCAAGCTTTTCAGCAAATATATTTGCATTGACAACATAATGGGGTTGATTTACTAAATTTACTAAAAGGCAATTGGGTTGTTGAATTTTCCCTTAGCTTAGTGATTGTGGTAAAAAATTACTTTGCAAAGAATACCTAATCATGTGCAAGGAAAACAGTATTTTGTCTTCCATATGAATGAATGATAGAACAGTTTTTAACTACACATATTTAGCACAGAAGTTGGATCTGCCAGACCACGAGGGTAAATATAATTTCTACCATATTTTCTATAGATTTTCAGTTTATCATCTGTTCTACAGATTTGTCAGCAGATTGTGATGACAGACCCCACTCCAATGGCACAGCGCTACCTGAGCACAAGGTCACATGGACAGCTGATCCCCCTCCGGCACTGTTCTCAT